GTAAGAAGTTTTACAGCAAACTTGACCTAAAAGATGGATTCTACCGCGATGTCGCCTAACTCCATTAAATACACATCCCTTGTGACCCCTATGGGACAGTATATTTTTACGTATGCTATTTGGTCTCAAAGTCGGTTCCCAGCTGTTCCAACGCTTTATGAAGTCCTAAAAGACCTAATAAGAGCCGGTGTAGCTGTTGTCTACATGGATGACATCCTGATAGCTACCGAAACTATTGATATGCATTTTGAGGCTCTGAGACAGGTATTCGCAACTCTTATGCGAAACAAGCTAGAACTATGTCTCGAAAAATGTTTCTTCCTATATATCGAGATTGAGTATTTGGGATATCGAATAGTTGAAAACGGAATCAGGCCTACGAACAAAAGTATTACGGCAGTACTGAGCTTTCCAGAACCAGAAACGACCGAAGAAGTTCATTCTTTTGTGGGATTGGCTTCGTATTTCAGGAAGTTTATCAAAGGATTCTCCACGATTGTCCAACCGCTATATGGTCTTCTTAAAAAGGACGTTCCATTCAAATTTGGAGACGCTGAAAGAAATGCATTCGAAACGCTTAAGATTAAATTAACAGAATCCCCAATTCTTGCAATATACGACCCGAAAGCCTACACTGAATTACACTGTGACGCAAGTGCTCAGAGTTTTGGAGCGATTCTGCTTCAACGCCAGCCAAACAAAGAAATGCATCCTGTCTTTTATTTCAGTCGGCGTACTACGGTAGCAGAGTCCAAATATCACAGCTTTGAACTTGAAATCCTGGCCATCGTGTACGCGTTACGGAGATTTCATATTTATTTACAAGGAATTCAATTCGTGATAGTTTCCGACTGTAGTGCGGTTATCCTAACTATGGAAAAACGTGATATGAACGCTAGAATATCCAGGTAGAGTCTCGAGCTTCAGGGCTATGATTTTAAGGTACTGCATCGACCGGGGCCCCGAATGACCCACGTGAACGCTCTGAGGTCCTTGGGTATGTTGGTCATAGAGGACAATCCTTTCGAGTGGAATTTATCCATACTCCAGACCCGAGATCCTAAGATTAAGGAATTAGTCCTAAAATTGGAAACGACAGAAAACCCTCATTATGAGCTAAGGAATAAATTGGTTTACAAGAAACAAGACAGAAAAAGCCTGTTCTTCGTATCGGAGCAAATGGAGAAACATGTACTATTCCGCTATCACAACGAAATGGGTCATGTAGATAGCGGAAAGATGATCGACTCTATTCGAAACACTTATTGGTTCCACCACATTCGAGATAAGTGCGAGAAGCACATCCAGAATTGATTAAAATGCATCTCCTTTTCACCCACCTCCGGGAAAAAGAAGGCATATCTACATCCAATCCCAAAAGGGAATCTTTCTTTTGACGCTCTACATATCGACCACTTTGGACTGGTTGATAAACAGATTTCGCTAAAGAAATATATTTTTCTTGTGGTCGACGCTTTCTCTAAGTTTGTCCGACTATTTGCTACAAGGACCACTAATTCCAAGGAAGTCATCGATTGTTTGGCACAATATTTCCGGAATTATAATAAATCTAATACCGTTATTTTAGACAGGGGCACTGCATTTACGTCACAAGATTTCGAGACTTTCCTGAAGGAGCACAATGTTCACCATGTAAGAGTAGCGGTGGAATCTCCGCAAGCGAACGGTCAAGTCGAACAGATAAACCGCACTCTCACGCCTTGTTTCGCTAAGTTGACAGGTGATGAACCTGGCCGACGTTGGTATCAGGTGCTTCCTGAGATCGAATATGCAATCAACAACACCGTAAATTGATCTACCGGAAAAACTCCCAGTCAGCTAATCTTCGGGATTGATCAGCGAGGTCGCAACGCTGATCAACTTCAGGAATTCTTGCGGGACACTATCCACGTGCTGAGATCTGGAGACTATCCGAAATCAAGCCGAGCATCGGACACAACAATCCCAACATAAACAGCAATCGGCTTACAATGCCAAGCGCAAGGAGCCCAAGCAATACCGAGCTGGCGATCTTGTCATGATTCGAAATTTTGAGAGTACTCCCGGCATCAGCAAAAAATTAATTCCGCAGTTCCGTGGCCCTTACAAAATAAAATCCAAAGTGCTTAGGAACGACCGGTACGTAATTTCGGACCCTGCCGGATTCCAGAACTCACAGAAACCCTACGTAGACACGTGAAACGTGTATAATTTACGGCCCTGGATCGCTCCAGTGGATCTTCCACCTGATTAGATTTTAAATATGTTTCTAATTCTTACTTCGTCGGTTGGCCAACGTTTCTCTTATGATGTTCACATTTTATTTGTCAATCGCTTATGTTTTATTTCCCGTAATTACCGTAAGGAATCTTACGTTATCTCGAATGTTTTATTATTCTGTTAATCCATACTGTATACGTTATTTTGATTTAATCTTAGTCACACAAAATCCGGTGTGCGTATGCGTTGTTTGTAAGACACTGGATACCCTATTAGTTTATTTAGGTTTCATTCCAGCAGTTTATTGTATTCGGTTTGAGGGACCAAACCTTGTCAGAATGGCCGAGCTGTAGCACGCGCAACTAAAATACCCGCCGATCCACAGCCGGTATTCGGCTGTGCTAGACGACAGCGCTCTCTTTCAGCGAACTAGGATAGGCGTGACAGCGAGAAGGGAACATAAAGGACAAGCGAACGGACGGCATGCGCCATAAGTCCTGACTGTAAAGAATAAAGAGATTATCGCTACAATTAATATCAATACAGAGTATATTAAGTATAGTATGTAAACGATAAGTGTGATACTTTCTTCCTTGCAACTGGGGGGTTATGCCTCCCAGACCCCCCGCACCGCAGCGGGGGGGAGGG